CCCCGAGCAGCGCGAACGATCCCGACCTCTACAACCGTCCATTCCGTCTTCATCAAGAAGCTGAGCTATCCTTTGTCTACCCGTCCGGATGAACTTTGGATCGTGGAAAGGACACTTGATGGTATTCAAACGTGGAAACCGGTGGAAACATTTCTGGAGAACATGCACCTCACCAACGATCAGGCTACCCTACGTACCACGGCTAACCATTGGCGCCGATACTATGACGTACCAATTCAATCATCCTCCTCCACTACGGCAACTACTGTTCCTGTTCTACCACACCCTGAACACTCCAACGTCTATGTCTCCCAACCGTACGAAGCGATACCGGACCAACTCCATATTTTACAGTCATGCTGGGGACGCTCTGCCCAACACCACTCTCAAGGAACCACCACCTCTTTATATTGGCCACCGTGGCGGTCTACACCACCTTCTTCACCACCGGCAACATTTCAACGTACTTTACATCTCAATCGCCCTACCGTCCCTCCTCAACAAGTACATGGGCCACTGGATACGAACGGTATGGACCCGATGGATATGTCTGACTCCAGTGTGTAATATACCACATTATTTGTCGGCATCGGAAAAAGCACAGTGACTACGCGTCGATTTGTGACTCCTCACTAGGTATACCTTTCCCTCCATGTTCCAATTTTTGGGCTTTATTCCTGGGTCATTGTCCTTCTATGTTGCAGCTTGGGCTTTTTGCTTTATACTCGAAACTCGACACCCGACGCCATGGCCCATTCTTCTCGGCCCCATCCATATCGCGCTACATCCACGATTGAGACACCACTGGGTACCGGAACTACTGGATGGCTTGCTGGACCCCGTGGCCTTCCTGGTCATGTGAACCCTCCTCCAAACCGACCTGTCCTGATTTTGATCGACTACTCTCCCTTACAGGAACTGACTCATCGCAGCGAACCTGACCGTGAACACTACATGGCTCTGGCTAGCTCAAATCTCAAAAATGTTAGTGGCTACGAATTTGAAGCTCTGTTCACCTGGTCACGTCAGATGCAACCCGTTGAAGCAGGCCTCCTTCCCACTGGAGAACTACGTTTCTGTATTTCAAAAAGATTGAGGACCCAATGGGACATCCAGCTTGACCCTTCGAATTTGGAGTTTCGCTATTGCGATCTGGAAGGTGACACATTTCAAGTCCCCAATGACATGACGATCTTGCAGCTTTTGGAGGAATACCGACCTGAATGGCGACTCCGACAGTATAACTACTTCGAATCCTCCTTGCTCGTCCCGGGTACATCACAGCCTTTCGTACTACGTCTGGGATGCCACAGAGTTAGCCCAGGTGTGATCCTGCCCTGATACGCTCACTGGCCAAAAATGACCATGCTCGCGGGTTTTAGTTATACCTATGCCATTTTTTCAACTCGAAGGATTCCTTGATTTCAATCTTGTTACACTTTGGACTATGTCTTTTCTGTGGACCTTGAACCACTTGATTGATGACTGGACCTCACTTTTACCTTCAATACTACTATTATTATTTTCGGTCTTGGCTTATGCTCGCATTTTCATGATGCCTCAGCCTTTGTCGCACCATTTCACGCATTTCTGACCGTTTCACCCATGGAGCACAAACGAGACGCTACCGTGGCTGGCTTGGCTTGGCCTTCGAATCCCAACCGCGGACTCGCTCCCATCAACCCAGATCAAGTACCAGACGCCCAGGCTTCTGCACTATGTCATTCCGGTCTTCCTGAACCCACTACCGGGACCACTTCGGCATCTTTGGCAGCTGACCATACAACTACCGACATTGGAACTACGGCCCATGCTGATACATATTCAGGCTTTGTACCTCCTGATGTCCCTTTTCCGACGGAGCCAAGTCCTGCACACCACTACCTCCATCGTGCTCACTTCTCTTCCCGCGTGGTTCACCAGATCCAATTCAAGATCATTACCCACTCCAACAATACCAGGGAGCTATTCATTGAAGAGATCCCCTTGTCAGGGCTTTCCAGATGTCGTGATCCGGAACACTACTTTTACGGTCTTTCGGGCAACTGGGAGTGGTCCCTACGCACAGCGGATTATTGGCGACATCATTTTGAAATTCCTCTAGTACACGGACATCATCCTTTTCACAATGTTCCCATTGAGACTACGGCACCTACGGAGGCAACCCACTTTACTCCGACGATCCAGGATCTGGCCCAACAACTTTCAATCACTTTGAGGGCTGCTATGGCATCTGGGGAAATCAACGACACGTGGAAGATGCTTGAGGACATGAGCTTCCGTGACGCGATCCAAACACTTCAAGCTGAGATGAGCCTTCCTTCTGAGTGATTGCACACAGCTCTGTACATTAGTGCCGGGCAGCTTTTTGTATTTGAACTATCATGCCGACATTTGCTGCGATGGTCTTCCAAAAAATCTAACCCCGCTACATGCGGGGTGTGTGTGTGTGTGTAACATCTGAACAGATGTAAAACTTCTTTGATTTGAACTTTTTCACATTTGCAGGGAATCCTTTCATATTTGCAGGGGGCACCTGGAGCATGGATAGGTCAGGTGCCAACGAAGACACCTATCCAATGCTTGTGATATCACGGCTGATCACCGTGACGTACCTGCCAATTTGCAGATCGGTTTCAACTGTTGATCAAGCTGTTACACTGCGTTGTTTCGAATCTACACGGTTGCCACAATCTGTATTGCATGCATCAGAACCTTCCTCAGATTTTCGCCGAAATCATATCGCCGACAGTATTATGATTTTTTGACATATTTTCGCCGAGATCATGTCGCCGATGAACTTTGGGTCATTTTGGGAAACAATCGCCGAAACATTATTTTGGATTTTCAACATGCTGGTCAAAACTCTTTGGACTCTGGTTTTAACTACGTTTGACAATATTGGATGCCCTACATCGTTTTCGAGAAGTACCTCATATGGCTCCTTTATTAATCTAACGATCTAGGCTGGTTGGCATGTTTCAGGATTCAGTTCCTGCCGGATCATATAATGATCCATTCTTGTCTAGTGTGTGTGTACCGTCTGAATAGACGTTAAACTTCTTTTACTTATTACATATGTATATACGCGGGGGGTCACCGGGGTCCCTGGGAGGTCGGTGACCAACGAAGACACCTCCTGGGGACCCGTGTAAACGTACCCGCGGGACTGTGGTGACGCACCTGGGCGCAATTGTAAGACGCAGCTGGTGGTCACCATAGTCCCATATATATATATTTCATCCATATCTAATTAACTAATCTAATCTGCATGTTTCAGGACTCAGTTCCTGCCGGATAATATAATGATCCATTCTTGTCTAGTGTGTGTGTGTGTGATTTTTTACATATATGCTGCATGCATGTTTATACCACAGGATACTCTACCCATCTGTACCCGTTTTTTTGATTTGAGGGCTTTTGAACACAGCTGTCCATCCCATACTTTGGTTTTGATTTGCAAAGATGTTGTGTGTTCGAAATCAGACGAGGGCAATGATTAGAGTCTTTCAACGTATGGTCAGAACCCGTGCCACGCGGTTGTTGAGGTATGTTCAGAGGTTCCTTGCCGACTACCATTCATACTTGCTGTGGGTAAAGAAAGACAAAACCCGATGGGAGAGAATGGAAAGGCGGGTGCAGGGGTTCTTGGAGGTTTGCATTTTGCGGGCATTGGTTCTGCAGTTGCTGCCTTGGTGCAGGAGCATGTTCGACGACAGCGGGCTCAAAGGCTTCAGCTTGGGTGACGATGGCCATTGCCCCAGGAAACTTTGGAGATTTTAGTTTTTTTTCTGTGGGTTATTGACTGCTGACTACTGCCATTACAATGGTCTTGCTGTGCCAAGGGGCCATCTATTACGAAGATGAGAATGGAAAGGCCCAGAAGGAGCCGCCACAGGAAGCCGTCACGGCAGTGCTGGATGCCACGAGGTCAGGTCGGCAGTAAGAGAATGCAGAAATACCTGCAATATCATCCAGCAATATGCTGCCATATCCTGCCATGAAGTGCAGCACTTTGCAAGAGCTTGGGGCTGCTTGGGAGATGGGAGATGGAATGAGATGGAGTGTCACACTGGGCGCCGCTGAGATCCGCTGAGCACTGGCGTTGAGGTGGGGAGGGCCTCTTTGCGGCCAGGTACTTCTTGAAGTGCTGGTTTGACACCCTTGAGGCTGGCGAGCTGACGGAAGACGGACAGCATAGGAGGCTGTTGCGCAAACTAAGATCGTACGTCGTAGGAACATTATTTTTTTTTTTTGTGAGTGCAAATTTGAGAAAAACATTCATGCCATTCATGCCACTTCAATCCGCTTCATGTCAAAACATTGCGGTGCTCAGAAGATCCAAGATTGCCTGCTACCATGTGCTACCCCTGAGGATGCCATGGTTTGCTTACAAAGGGACTTGGTGGAGGATTTGCTAAATGCATCACCAAATCCTGGGCCGGAAATTCCTTGGCATGGAGGCACGGCTGTGTGGCATTTGTGTGGCAATTCTATGACGTTTCTGTGGCGTTTGTGTCATGAAAGTGTCGGATTGATCTTGGAAGTGACCGGTGTCCCTTGATGATTTTGATGGTTGATTCAGAGACCCGTATATGATTGACTTATGATCGTATGTTTGGCAACTTGGAGTTGCTTTCTTGAGATCTTCCAGAAATGCCGCATGAAATGCCCCTATGTGGCCATCGGCCAGTCATGCCTCTGGTGCAAGAGCTACCTGGCAGAGAATCCGCTCCAGGCCATGGGCATTTGAGGAGAGTTTCAACGAGCTTCTGGAAACAAACAGTAACATGTGGCTTCACCTGGCACATTTGATGTGAACATATTGTAACATATGGCTTCACCAATCTTTACTTGTCATTTGATGTGAATGGCTCACATGTTTTGAATTGTTTTGATATGTTCAAGAGCCTCGCCTCCGCAGGGGTATTGTTGGCTCAAGGGCATAGAACTGGTACCCGGATGCCGGCTGCTAAATCATTGAGGTGCCGCATGGTTCGATGTCTGTCGACACTGCCTGGGGCCCGCGTTTCTTCGCGTGGTTGCCATGGTTCGCTGTGACGAATCCGGTCTCTTCCCTTCAGACCTGCAGCGTCTTGCAAAACCTCCGCAATCTGCACTGCTATGGGTTGGTGAAGGCAGGGAAGAGTTAATTGTATTTGTTACATGCAGGCATGTAGGTATGATGTTAGCAATGTTGATAATGTTGGGTCTTCTCATCTCATCATTTTCGCCTTGTGAGATTCTAGTGTTCCCGATGGTGTTACCTTTCGGCTATCCTTGGTGTTGTTGTTTGTTTTATTGTTTTGATTGAGTGCACTGCACGAAAAGTATGCCCTCAGAATGCAACAGTGAGCTCGGGTGAATTCCACCATCGTACAGCCAACGGGCAAATCCAATCTGTTGAACCGTAGCTTTTGCTTGACAAGATAGAGTCGCAGAGGCCCGCTATAGCCGCTTTTACATGCTAAAACTAGGCTAAAACCATCTAAAACCGCCCCCCCTTCATTCCAATTCCACAGACGGCACAAGTTTGCTCCGTTTCTCTCCAGGATCTCAAGGGCAAACAGGTTTCTTCGTTGATCGCAGCGTAAAGGGGATCTCTTTCCCAGTGGTCTTAATTTTGTATAAATTACAGAGGTGCTCAAAATGAAGTTGGGCCAGTGAGCAGTTGAGCAATTTGTTGTGTGGATTTTTGATGATTTTTGGGCGACAGCCTTTGGAAATGAAAGTTTGTCCATTGGCCTGAAATTGGCCTTGCAAAAAAGGGTCAACTGCTAGCATTGCTAGCTGCTAGCTGATTCTCGAGATGCACAAGGTTCAAGAAAGCACATCTCCCATATGTTGGCCGCATACGGGCCGTGTAACCTTCGGTTCCCCTTGCAGGGAACAGATAGATGGCGCGACAGTATGCGCAGAGCCCGTTCGTTGCTCTGCTTCTGTCAGGTATATCGGTACAGGATGTTACAGGTACATGTAGATGGTGCGGATGTTTATGCATGTTTTAGGAAAAGCCATGCATTTTGACTTGAAGCTTTGCTTGTATCTTGGTGCCGCTTCCTTTGGTTTTCGCAGAGTTTGCTCTTGGCTGAGCCTCTGCGCAGGATGAGAGCACGCCAGTGGAAGCAGGGCCAGATGCTTGCAGAAAAGCCTGCTGTAATGATGAGAATTGCGAGGCACGATTTTGGCATCCCAAAGGCAAATGCATTGCAAACTTCAAAGCCATTCCTATCGGTTCTTGCATGATGCGAACATTCGGCACAAGCCTGCACAAGCCACAACAGCATTCACTATCGTCAGGTTTGGCAATTCAATGCGTTGTTTGCCTGCTACCGGGGCAAGAGCGACGTTTGCATCAAAGATATGGAGCCTGGTTTGCATCGCATGCTTCCCATGGGAGTGTTCTGAAAATCACTCTGCTCTTTGCTCGGGCCAGACTCCAATTTCCACCAGTGCCGTGGTGCCATGGTAAGGCTGGTGATCATTTCCATCCCATCAATGCATCAGAATCCATCTGCATAGATTCTGGAATGGTCCTAACTCGCAGGTGGATAGTCCAACAACAATTGTATATATTGTATGACTATCCGAGTGTTTGGAAATTTGGACTCAGGATTCTTTCACAGCCGGGAGCCTTGGCGAGCGCCTGCGTGGTGCGACTGTGGCTTCAAGTCCTTTGATGTGGTATGGAAAAATGACGACCTACGTGGCCAAGTTGCACTTACTGGATCTTAGTGGGACGGGGTCGCGGAATGCAATGTGGGGTGAATCCTGTTGGTTGAAGTGCTGATGTCATGGAAAGGCGCAAGTTCACAACGCCACGTCAAAGCAGGTTTAAATTTAAATGATGATGTGGCAGTGTGTCAAAACCTTGTACCCCTGGTGAACATCAAAATAGCTGGTAAATGGATGTTCATTCCCCTAAAAATGGTATTAATAGGTATTGATCCATACCCATGTAATTTCTGGCCCCCTTGCGACATATTGCGACTGATGATGAAGATACACATATTGGATTCAGCCGCGGCCAGACAGAGCTTGTGGATCTGGATCCGGCAGCATCCGAGCCACGTGAGGAAGTCATTCAAGGCCTTGCTGCCAGCAACGAAGGGACGAGGGTTCCGGAGAGATGTGAGAGATGTGATCATGCTAATTACCCTCCGGTAAACTAACATAGGGATGGAAAATGGTGATTTATAGTGGACTTTCCCATTAAAAATGGTGATTTTCCATAGTTAGTTATGTTAGTTTACCAGAGGGTACAGATCATGATCATGAGAGATCGTGAGAGATCATGCTTTGATCTTTCTAAGAACTTGCTCCAGTAGTGGCTGTGACACACGATTTGCGCTTACGAACTGCAGCCATGTTTGCGCAAGTGTCACCTTAGGTGCTGCGCACTTGAGCATCCCCTTACTTGAGGCGGCTCACACCAAAACTACACAAAAGGCCCAGAAATTGGACAGCAGCACCATTCAACGCCCAAGTGTCAGCACGTCAACACAAATCAGATGCAGATCATAATTTAGAATAATTTAGAGTAATTCAAAACATGCGTGGGCAGCTGGAAGCAAGACAAGCAGCTGCTGCTGCAGCTTTAGCACATCTTTGTAGGTCTGGGGATGTCGCAGATGCCATCAAATTGCCCGGCAGTGGTGTTCGGCCGACCTGAAATTTTGCCCGCTGAGTGGGATGATTCACCGGCCCTTTCTCCAGACATGGACAGACTGGCTACGTGGATGACAATGATGGAAGTGACTGGCTGCATGCTCTTTCCTGAAGAATCCTGAAAAATGCTTGGGAGTTGGGAGGGATTGAGATACAAACCATAGAGATATGGCCTAGGATCCCCACCCGAGCGATTGAGACAGCCAAACCATAATAGTTGCTGCAAATTGAACGATTTTGACCTGGTATTTTCCCACATTTTGGAGGCAGGCTTTAAGTGGGGGTGGCACCTTTGGGTTGAAACCTGTGGGTGAATACAGGTGACAAGACCCGACGTTTTGCGAGCAACTCATTGTCATCGACTCCTGCAGCGCTTTGGCCATGTGTTGCGAAAGTGACTTGGAAGAAAAAAACACACACAGATAGATGGATGGATGGATGGATAAATATGTACATGATATGTACACACACACACAAATATATATATATATACATATGCCCGTATATGCCTAAGGCCCGTGTGTGTATGTGTTTGGAAATGTGCCATCGTAAATCATTTTTATAGAGATAATCATGACTATCCAGGGGATAGATGTTCAGATAGGTACAAAAACTCCAGCTCATGGCTGGAGCACATGAGCGTTCGTGTTGCTAGATATTGCTAGCCCTCCGTTGGCCACGGGATGTGGGGATATTTTCACAAAGCCACATGGGGAGATTCATCACCTTGCTGGAGAAGAGGCGCTTGCAGGGATTATTGTGTGAAGTACAGCTGGTCGGACCAAAATGTCTTCACACCATGGACTGTTCGGACAATGTTTGATCCAGTCGCGGTGGCAAATGGAGCTACAACAGAGGAGAGAGAGGGGTTTTGAGGGTTTGAGAGTGCGAGAGTGTGAGGTGCAAACATGCTTTCAAGCTTCGCTGCACGCAGCCAATGGTCACGGGCAAAGCAGGTGTCAGGGTTCTAGTGATTCTAGTGACAAAGTGTCCCCGTCGCTGTCAATGGGGAGGCAGAGGGGCTCCTTTGAAGGTTGTGGCTTGATAGACCTTGGGAACGGATGGAATTGTAGGATTTGGCTCTAAATCATTCTAAATCACCTTGACGCAGAACATGTCATGTACATTGCACCTATGCCTTGGACAAGATATTGAGATAGATCCGTTGAGTGAGTCCATTGCCAATTTTGATCAGTGTGTTGATTTGGGAGCATCGGCTGCAGCGCATGGGAGCACCCAATCCTAAGGCCACGGTCCAAGAATTTCTACGAGTGGAGCTTCGTTGTCCACGAGATCGACCAGTTTTTGTCTCACTCATGGCATGGAAACCGTGTGAGGAAGGCCATGATTTTAATCCTTATCAAAAATGGGCTACACGCGTGCATTCTTGGTACGCTGGCAGCCCTCTTCATGTCAGTATTGGTTTTCTTTCACCATTTGCCGGACATCCCGAGACTGGCAATCTTCCAGACTGATTCAGCGGAGCGCACCTCAATATGGTCGCTCACAACAGGAATGCTAGTGTCAAGTGCAACATTGCTACTGCGGAGGCCACAGCAAACGGTTTTCCTGGACAACATTTGCATTGATCAGAGCTCTGAACTGTCTAAAGCCGAAGGGATTTTGAATGTCGGAGCCTTCTTGAGAAGATCAAATTCCATGCTGGTTCTGTGGGATAGCAGCTACGTGGAAAGGCAGGGTTCGGACAAAAGACAAGCCCGGAAGAATAGTATGCAAAACATGTTTGAGATGTTAGTTTGTTCACTTTGTCCTAGTACTTATATAAAGAGGTAGTCAATGATGACATAGGAGGGCAATGATATCAACTCTCCGCAACGAAGAGTGGATTGTGAATGATTGTGGAGCTTCTCGGCTGGGAGGGGCTGGGGCATCCTCAAATTCCTAGCATTCCTACCCTCAGCTCTAACACAACAACAACCTGCCACCTTGGAAAGGTTGTGGTGCATGTTCGAAATCGCTGGGTTCTTACACAGCAGAGAATTGCGGGAGGGCACCGAAGGCACCGAAAGTAAGATCCCACGGCTAGACATTAGGCCCATTTGGGCTGCCCCTTGCACGGTGGCCATTGCGGTATCCTTGTTTGGAGCGATGCTAGCTCTTTTGATCGCGCCCTTCAGCAACCCCATCATTGGTTCAAGTATTTTTGGCGTCCTGGCAGTTACATGTTTCCACGTTGCCGCTGAGTCAGTGCGAAACTACAACAGGTGCATTGACAAGCTTCAGTTTGAACTCAAAAGCTTCGATATGCAGAAGGCTCAATGTTATTGCTGCAGTGTGAATCATGTTAGCTCTTCTGGCTCGGACCCCCTGGTGTGTGACCGAGAAATCATTGGGCAGTGCATCTCAAACTGGTTTGACAGCATGCTGAACTTCAATGAGTGTGTGCGCTCGACAGTCTTTGCAAATCTGATTGAGCAGCTGCTGCACCGGCCTTTTCCAGTTCCTCTGTTGATGAATGTTGCGTTTTTGTTGGCAGCTTGGCTCTCTGTCTTTTCTGTTGCGAGATTTTTGAGTTCCCGGGAAAAAAGGGAAAACTGACCCAGGCTTGGTGGCTGATAGGAGCATCGATTCCAATCCTTTGGGGTCAGCTTGATGCAGTCGCCGTCCAACTCCGACTGGGCCACGTGGACCTGGCCATTGCATGGAGCATCAATGGGCTGATGTGGTGGCTTTCAGGTTTTCCAGTTTCCTTCCTCTGCCTCTTGTCTCTGGATAACGTATGAAGGGCACAAGTCCTTTTCATTTCTGTTCCACTCAGTTCCTTTGTTAATTGTGTTTTTTATTTTACCTAAAGAATCTTAAGAGTCATTCTCACGCCATAGTGTCCTCGAGGCTGGAGCGCTTTTTGCAGGTCTTGGAGAGCAAGAACGCACTGTGATTGGCTTGTGAACTTCGTGGGAACCTGCATTGTAGTTGGCGTGATGTGTTTGCTGTGGACTATCAACTCTGCTCTCACCCTTTGGATGGCAAACGACGTGTTGGGCTCTGCAGTTTTCTTGGTCATCATGCTTGTCATATCTTGCCTGCTGTGGAATTTTGGCCGCTGGCCACTGCAAAGGCAGGGTCGGGCCAGTGAGCATCACATCTCGTGAGGTACCTTTTGAATCCTTTTGATTTTGGATATTTTGGTATGTTGGGCCACCGGCACCAAATAACCAAATCCAATAATTATACAACGCCGCAACGTTTCACCGTGTCTGGTGGCTCCAGCCTAAATACTGAGACCGTGGGTCACAACATGAACCCAAAACCAAAAAGAGTGGCAGAGAAACATCAGAAAGCCATAGAAAGCCCACAGCTGGCATTCACTGGCGACTCCTGTGAAGAGATTTTGTCTGATCTGGGCAGTTTTCCAGGTGCAGGCCTCTGGATGGTCATTTGCATCGCTATCAGCATCTTTTTTAAACAATTCTTGCGGAATAAGACATGATCTTGCTTGCCCCTGAAAGAACTGGGTCATCTGGAGGTGCCTGGAATGAAATTACCCATCATCAGATCAGACAATGCATTTTCACTTGAATGCATGCAGGGACGGGAGTCTGAATTGCATGGAATACTAGTAGCTGGCACTACAATTGGAACACAGCTGAACAGTGACTATCTTGGAGATGGACTTGTCAGCCGATTCAACTCCAATTTCGTTCGCCTCTTTCAGTTATGTCAAAGTCTATTTTCCAGCCTTCCATCGGATTGCAGCAAATGATTGAGATGATATATATATATATACATATGAATGTGGGTGGCAAGTTCATTAAACTACTAGACCATTGTAGTCATTTTCGTAGTGTCTTCCGCAAACTTTTGCTTTCTTGAAAGCGGGCGACTCTGGCCTAGGATGTCATGACACTTAAGGACCTAAACTTGTTGCCTTTACCAAAACAGCCTCCGTTGAAAGCAGTCAAAAGGTTCAAGTGTCTCAGTATATATAAATCTAAATCTAAATAAATAAGTAAATAAATCAATAAATATAAATAAATGTAAACAAATACAACTAAATATAAATATACAAATATAAATCAACATATATATATATATAAATAAATCAATTATATATATATATATGTTGTATATCATATATCATATAGTTGATTGATTCGCAGGGTTGAGTTGCCAAGACATTTTCGCTTCAAGCAATGTTACTTGGAGCCTGTCACTATGTTTGAAAATTCTCGTAGTCCTCGGGGGCACTTGCCAGCAGCAGGAAAAGCAAACGCAACGTAGGGAGATGTGACCGGAAGAATCTGGAAGATACGGGGTGACTCTGGATGTGTTGCTGATGGCCGATGGCTGGGTCCAGGCGTTGGTGGTGAAAACTATCGCCTTTGGCGGAATGGTTCCGTACTTCAGGCAGGGGAAAAGAGAGAAGAAACGATGAAATTTCTAGCTGTTGGGAGCGATCAGTGGTGACCTGAAAGAAGAAGAAGAAGAAGAAGCAGAAGAAGAAGAAGGTTTCAAAATGTTTCAAATGTGATGCCAACTCATTATTTCGTCCACCGCTGGATTCAATCTCCGCAACGCTGTCAAGTCGTGAGTTGGATGAAGGCTTTCGGTGCAAAGTAGATGAAGCAACCCTGTCTTATCCCTGCATTTTCAGTGTCAGGGACAAAACCTTCCCAGTTTCATCCAGTTTCTGAAGCTTCGCATGCCAGGTGGACGTTTCCTGCTGGTCCTTCGAACGGCACCCGGAATGGTGCTGTCCATGGATCCGTGGCTGCAGCCATGAAGATCATGAACCCTATGCCATCCCATGCCATCCCATGCCATCCCCAATGGGCTGCCCACTGTTCGTTCAGGGATGGACCGCCTCGGCGGAAATGCTGGGGGAAGGCAGATCATCTGCGTGATCACTGCTGCAAGGAGCACTGGCATGTGAAGGGAGAATCATGGGCCATCCCCAATGACCTGCGCGGCAAAATGTGGTAACCATTGGTAACCTACATGCCAGTTTGTTCGAATGACTTCAGCATGATTCACTAAACGTTGGAGCACTTAGAGCACCTGTGTGTTAAAGAGTTGGGCTTAGGAGAACAATATCCCGTAAGTTACGTGCTTGCTTCTCCTGTAAGTATTTCAATTATTTTGCATATGATTGTTTCTTTTATACTTCTATCATCTTCTATCCAAGTGCCATGGAAGTTCGGAATTCTAGGCGGGCATGTCACCGGATGGAAACTATTTGTACAATGTCGGCATCTCAGTCAGTGTGCCAAGCCGGAACTGCTACGCCAAGTCACACACCTAAAGTGTTTACCTCCTATCTCTGCCAGCTTCATAGGGACGTTTGATGCGGTAAGAGCATTGGAAGTCGCTCAGGTCTACGCACGCACCTTGATGCAACAGTTAGGGCACAGGTCTTTGATGGTCTTTGGGGCCGCATGGTTTGGGTTCATATGTTGCTGTTTAACAAGGAGTTGAGACTTGGCGCATCATGCAATTGAGGTCTTACACCGTATTTGGCTCCAGCGGAACGGGTGTACTTCAACCAGATTTTGCCTGAGGAAAAGATCGACGAAGCACTGTTTACTTCCAGCAGGTCGCCTGGAAATCAGTTTCAGGATGTTTGGGCAGTGCTGTGATGTGCTGTGAAATGCTGTGAAGCTATTGCAAGGCTGCACTGGGCCTCGGGTCATCATCCTTCTGATTTCTGCCCATCTACTGCTGCAATGGTGGATGGTCAAAGAGCTGTGATTGATGGGCCGCTCAGCTGCAGCCTAGGTTTCGTGCAGTGCATGCCGTTCTGCTTGGGAGACATTGGGAGATAAGGTCTGTAGTATTGTGGCCTTTGGCCATGCTTTTGGCTGCTCATATCAAGATCACTGGTACCTTTGCTTGAGCCCCAGCTCATCCCAGCTCCAAAGTTCCCGCACCATGCCCTGGTTCACCGGGCATGACTCAGGTAAACATCGGGGCTGGCACCTGCCTGCATCCAGATCCATTGTATCAGCTTCTAGCTTCTCGAGAAGGTCAGGGTCCTGTTCTGCAAACTGATCCGTGACTCCATGACCGAAGTTGAACATGATAGAAGTCGGAAAGATTTGCAACGTCAGATTGGCATACTGCGTTTGTATCTTCTGCTTCTTATTACTTGCTATATATGAGTATGAGCATTTGTGCTGCTCGCCCCTTGCACATGTACCAACGGGATTCATGCGCATGGATTTTTGATGATTCTTGCAGATCCATGCCTGCATAATTACTCATCATCTGAAGGATCCGGTTTCCTGGGGCTGGCTGTGGAAGCAGACTCTGCTCGGCTTCAGAGGCAAGGCATGCTGTATGTCGCCGGAGTGCCGTGAGTCTCCATGTGAGTGACGGCCCTTGTTTTGGGAAAATGGAGGGTACTATTGGGGTGTACCTCATGTCTGTCAAAAACATCATAAATGAGGTAGGAACACCCCGAGAACGAGGTAGACATCGCATATAAAGCATTTAGCTGAAATTTAGCTATTAAAAACAAGTGCGGCGTTGGAAAACAAGGTCAGACCCCCCAAAAAAGCGCTATGTACCAAATATCGTCCGCGGCTCATGTGTCGCCATAAGTCAATGTGCAATGGATGCGACGGGATAATGTGGTAACTCCCATGCTCCTGGTGCCAACCAGAGCTAGGTGTGAGGACGAAATGGCGCAGACCTTTGCCACAGTGGTGCCTGTGCCGGGCTTATCTCTGAATGTCGCAGCTCAGCTGAGCGTAGCCTGTGGCTTTCGTGAGGTGTCCATGACCTTGAACCCAATAGATGCAGCTCGACAGCTTCGACCCTATGTGGCACCAATGTTTCCCAATGTCTGGCTCCCAGATGTCTTGACCAATGAGGCCACAAAGGCTGAGTACAAAATCTTTGGTCATTTGGCGACAACCATTGGCCCATTGGCAACCCTAACTGCCGTAACTTCGTCATTTAGTTGTTGGGGATGTCCGCCACTCTTCACCGCACCATACCGCACCTCTTCGGACTTTGTACGCGGAACTTCCACAGGAGCAGACTCCGTGGCCCTTGGACTTTCTCGTTGTGGACCTTGACGGTTCCCTTCTAAGCACAAGCAGCCGAGGAAAACATTCCAGAGACTGCCAGGGACATCTGAAACTTGTGCATTTTGATGCATTGTGCAGTGTTGTTGTATGATGTTGTATGTATCATGTATGTTTCTAAGTGTGTGCTTGCTCAGGTTGTGATTGTCTCGTAGCAGAGGGGCTGATGGACCTCGTGAGGCCCAAGGTTGGAGATGTCCAGTGTATTGAGTGTTTGGCTGAAATCTATTGACATCTAGAACCTAAATATATAATGTGATATAATGTGCATATATTGTGCATATATATATAAATATAAATATATATATATATATATCTACCATTCGGCAGCCCTCAAAATGCAGTGGCAGGTGCTGATGTTGGAGATTGCCTTTCACTTTCCTCCGCCTTTCCGCTTCTCTGCCCATTGGGATGTCAAGAGGTCTCATTCTTGGAATGCGGAGTATGATGTTGACCAGTTGAACCCATCCAGTGGCTGCTCGCTAAGCTACGCAATCCACAAGTTCAAACCTTTTGGCTACCATTTGCTGCGGCTGACGCACACTGATGCGGTTTTTGTCCATGAATCCGTCAGACCAAGTATCGAGTCAGGCCGGGAATGGTTGGATGGTTGATGGATTTCGATGGACGCCCAGATCTTCCATGATCTTCCCACCATTTCCCATCCGGAAACTGGGGACATCTGGGGACTCCAGGACTCGGCTTGCAACTGCCCCAAGATGAGTTTCTGTGCTACCGACGAAGCACGTTGTGGGTACAGTCCTGTTCTCGGGATTTTGCATCGCAGAACGCTGCCTGTGACGTATTGTGACGTGTAATTAGATCCATGTAAATCAGTGTGACCATACATAGGGAGCTAAGCTTGGAGGCCTTAGAGTATGAGATGAAAGGGAGATGAAATCAGTTCAATCGAATGATCCCCTGTTACATTGGGGTATATCATCGGCCCTCTATTTGCTCGCACTTGATGGTGTCTCGGATCTGAGGTTGCCAGGCAGATACGTCCGCGAGTGGTTTTATGCTGCTCATCCATCTCTGGCCTTAAGTTCCTTTGCACAAGACTTGATGATGCTTGATGTAGTTTGCAAATCATCAGCATGTTTGGGCATCATCATGCCATCATGCTGCAAGACTTTCATCAAACGCCTGCCACATCTTAGGCCAGATATGGTCAAACATCACTGAGCTGAACAAGCAAATGGGGCGGGATGATGCTCCTTTCACGCTGGATTTCTAGTTGGTCCAGCCTATCCAGCTGGTCATGTTGGTCGCTGCTCTCCCAGATCTTCATCACAGGCCCCAGCTGCGGCCTGGTCGAGGCCTCCAGGATGACTGGCCATGGGATCCATGGGATCCATCGGATCCAGACGGTGACGGTGACATATGTGACATGATGGCCATGCGCGCCGAAGATGGCGCGTTGAACAAACGCTGTGTGCGACTAAAAGGGCGCCTGCATGTCACTTGATCTCCAGAAAACAGGCTTAGGACGAGGGCAAGGCTTTGACTGAAGGAATGCAAGCGAAAGACTAGCCGACTGATTGGTAGGTCAAGATGCTGTCCAAGAAGAACACCAAGGGATGGACCCAGGCAAGGAAAAGGGTTGCTGCCGGTAGATGCCAGCAACAGTCATGGCCGCAAGAATGGAAGATGTGACAGGTGAAAGAGACCCATGGCAAGATTCCCCCGATCCATGGGCAGGCCTCCTGAACCGCTACAATCTTGAAGACTCACAGCACAGCAGTATTGACAGTATTGGGCTCACGAGTGCCAATGCAAATTTGACTCATATGTGCCCACAGACCCACAGAGCATTTCTGAAAATCCGACCGAACATTGTGCCTGCCATTTGTTGTGTGCGGAACAGGGTGTCGAATTTAGGAACTATTTCGCTAGTTCTGTTTCCTTTCTCCCGAGCCAAACATCTAGGAGCCAGTGACCTTTCCCTTTGTTCACCCAAGAATCCCCATCATCCTGAATATAAGTGTGTTCAATGCTTTCGGTTTTGAAACGTCGTTTACATTTGCATCATGCAAAGAGCCTTGACGGCTTGTGTTTTCCTGGTATTTGCAAACAGTCGATTTGGCAAACGTGTAGCTTCGAATTTAGCGCTGTCTATTGCTGTGTCATTTGGATGCGGTCCTGGCTGTGTTGATTTGCAGCTATGCACCCCACAGGTGGAAAGGGTGAAGATGGAGCCCAAGAAGAAAACCAAGGGATGGACCCAGGCAAGGAAAAGGGTTGCTGCCGGTAGATGCCAGCAACAGTCATGGCCACAAGAATGGAAGATGTGACAGGTGAAAGAGACCCATGGCAAGATTCCCCCGATCCATGGGCAGGCCTCCTGAACCGCTACAATCTTGAAGACTCACAGCACAGCAGTATTGACAGTATTGGGCTCACGAGTGCCAATGCAAATTTGACTCATATGTGCCCACAGACCCACAGAGCATTTCTGAAAATCCGACCGAACATTGTGCCTGCCATTTGTTGTGCGCGGAACAGGGTGTCGAATTTAGGAACTATTTCGCTAGTTCTGTTTCCTTTCTCCCGAGCCAAACATCTAGGAGCCAGTGACCTTTCCCTTTGTTCACCCAAGAATCCCCATCATCCTGAATATAAGTGTGTTCAATGCTTTCGGTTTTGAAACGTCGTTTACATTTGCATCATGCAAAGAGCCTTGACGGCTTGTGTTTTCCTGGTATTTGCAAACAGTCGATTTGGCAAACGTGTAGCTTCGAATTTAGCGCTGTCTATTGCTGTGTCGTTTGGATGCAGTCCTGGCTGTGTTGATTTGCAGCTATGCACCCCACAGGTGGAAAGGGTGAAGATGGAGCCCAAGAAGAAAACCAAGGGATGGACCCAGGCAAGGAAAAGGGTTGCTGCCGGTAGATGCCAGCAACAGTCATGGCCGCAAGAATGGAAGATGTGACAGGTGAAAGAGACCCACAAGATCCCAGCGACTCATGGAGAGGCCTTCATGAGACACAGACAGTGGTATTGAACTCCAAGTTGATGTTTGGCTGCCGTTTCCTAGGCACGCAACGGGCGTGTCGAATCTCAAGAATCTATTTCAGTTTCCGTCCTCCCAACCCGAACATCTACTCTAGGACCCTAGGAGCCGTTTTGACTTCCTTGCGCCGCTCGCAGGTTGGACTCCAATCAACCAAGAACCTAAAGGTCAGCGTGTTTGGACAGAAGTGTCCGCTTGCTAATCGAGGGTTTGTTCAACGGTTAGGTTTAACATGGTTGAACTTGCAGTTGTGAATTCCCATGATTTTATGAATTACATTGATTTACAAGGTTTACGGTGGATACGGTGGTGTCATTTCAGATGCGATTCTGAACTGTTTTGACTTACCACGCCTTGCCGGCCGGTTGGCAGGTGAAGCTGCTATCAGAGCTACGATGAAAGGAAAAAGCCAATGGAAACCTTCAGGCGAGGCCAGTACTCGTACCAGCCAACGCGTCAGCTGCAAGTACTGCGATAGAAATGCAAGTACAGATGCAAATCTGATGCACATGTGGCAGCAGCACGTTTTTGATCGCAAATTGTGCGCCGTGTGCATCCAAGTGCATCCAAGTGCATCCAAGTGCATCCAAGTGCATCCAAGTGCATCCAAGTGCATCCAAGTACATATTTGGCTGCCATATCTTGGGCCTATTTGGGCATTAAGCATGAGTGCCTAATCTTGATAGGTTACTGAATTTACTTCTATCTCCATTCAAACATATTCAAACCCTACCCGAAATCTAGTAGCGAGCCGCATTTCCAACCCAAAGATATTTCAGCTACCTTTAGGCAAGCGAAGCTACACGTAGCTACATGTAATTAGGAATCCTTTGAATTAGCCTGTCCCAAGAACCTAAAGGTCAGCGCATCTGGGCAGAAGTGTCCACTTGCCAATCCAGGGTTTGTTTAACGGTTGGGTTTAACCTGCAGTTGTGAATCCCCATATTTTATCACAATTTTACATTATTTATCATGATTTACTACATTGATTTATGATGTTTAATGATGCTTACGGTCGTGTCATGTCGCGTCATTTCAGATGCGATTCTGAACTGTTTTGACATACCGCCCCTTGCCAGCCGGTTGGCAGGTGGAGCTGCTATCAGAGCTGCGATGAAAGGAAAAAGCCAAGGGAAACCTTCAGGCGAGGCCAGTACTCGTACCAGCCAACGCGCCAGCTGCAAGTACTGCGATAGAAATGCAAGTACAGATGCAAATCTGATGCACATGTGGCAGCAGCACGTTTTTGATCGCAAATTGTGCGCCGTGTGCATCCAAGTGCATCCAAGTGCATCCAAGTGCATCCAAGTACATATTTGGCTGCCATTTCTTGGGCCTATTTGGGCCTTAAGCATGAGTGCCTAATCTTGATAGGTTACTGAATTTACTTCTATCTCCATTCAAACATATTCAAACCCTACCCGAAATCTAGTAGCGAGCCGCATTTCCAACCCAAAGATATTTCAGCTACCTTTAGGCAAGCGAAGCTACACGTAGCTACATGTAATTAGGAATCCTTTGAAGCTAGCCTGTCCCAAGAACCTAAAGGTCAGCGCATCTGGGCAGAAGTGTCCACTTTCCAATCCAGGGTTTGTTTAACGGTTGGGTTTAACCTGCAGTTGTGAATCCCCATAATTTATCATAATTTTACATTATTTATCATGATTTACTACATTGATTTATGATGTTTAATTTACGGTTGTCTCATGTCGTGTCATTTTAGATGCGATTTTGAACTGTTTTGACTTACCGCCCCTTGCCAGCCGGTTGGCAGGTGGAGCTGCTATCGGAGCTTCGATGAAAGGAAAAAACCAAGGAAAGGCTTCAGGCAAGGCCAGTACCAGCCAACGCGTCAGCTGCACTGCGATAGTACAGATGCAAAGATTTTGCAGGTCAAATGTACCCTCTATGGGGTTATAAAGCTGTGGATCCCTTCAACCACGGGCGCAAAGGAGGCCTGCGACATCATTAAAGGATTGCATGAAACAAGGACAGCAAGACTTTGCCCTACAAGGTCACCTCTTACCTATGGCAGCATGTAACAGCACTAGACCTTGTTGATGTGCCTGAGGCAAGCCTCAAGCCAGCAATTCCAAGGTCGGATGCACGAGCAGCACGACCTCGCATAATCGGAGATTACAGCCACTCAAACCCATATTATCAAAGCTTGTTAGGTCTTGTTAGCAGTTCCGGATTCGTTGATATGATTGCAGGATATTGCATTAAGGCCCCTTTTACTTTAACCGTTAACCTCTCTTGTCAAACTGGTGGTAAATATATGCCCAGGATGTGTCGGGCTTGTGTGTATGAAGCATCTTGTACCAAATCTATACTGCTTCGTTTGATTTGTTTAACGGGTGCCTGGGCCGAGTAGCCAGGTACAGGTTCAGGTGGAGTGCTTTGCATCTGAGCAAGTTGATGCCTCAGCCGATTCTTGGAAGCTTCTGCCCACCGCATCCGACCGTCTACTTTTTGATTGCCAGACTGCCATTATTTCCAGGCATTGTCTCCGGGTTCTGCTGCTGTTTTGGATGATTTTGGATGGTAATTCCATGCAATTCCTGCACACAGTCAATCTACGTTCCAATACGTTCCAACACATTTCGGCCATTCTTAGCCCGGCTGAAATTCAGCTGCCCTCGTGGGAATTGAAGGCCCGTGGAGTTGTCTTTTCTGGCTTTGATTGGACCGATGAAGAAAGCTTAAAGGCCTGAGCATGCCTGAGCCATCTTTTTTTTTGCCAAGGCTTGAGTCAGTTAAAACTTAGAACAGGTTGAAACACCAAGGTGGAGGTGACGTGTCAGATATCAACCGATAGTCCCAATTTCTTTGCTCCAAAGAGTTTCCGAATTTTCCGAAATATAATCGGTATAGAGCACACTTGCGGGAAAGTCATCACTTTAAGTGTGACAAGATCTTCGTGACCTCAATGCAGACTATGGAATACATTGGAATACTATAATATATTATAATATACTATAGCCGTTCTGCTGTCGGAGAGCCCCCAAAAAACATGACAAGAGAGAGGAGAGGGGAGGAGAAGGAGAAACGGAAAAAGAAGAGAAGCGGGACGAACGGTAACAGAGAGGGAGAATTGAGGATAAACACGCACAGATGCAGACACAATTGAGTTGAACCACTGGGAACACATTTCAACCAAAATCTGGCTTCCAAGGTTTGTTGGTCATATATCGAATCGATCATGAGCTTCCGTCAGGAGTCTTGTGGACTTTTCGCGAAGGATGGGACCAGGGTTTGGAACTAAGAATCAGGGCCTGTCGCATCCGTCGTATTGAAAAGATAACCCAGGCTGCCAGGCTTTTCCTGCACAACGAGACCTTCTTTCAGGACAATTTGCCCTTGCACTACTTGCAAGCGATGAAGCCACCAATCATCATGAAATCTTGACGGAGAAGAATGTGCTTTGTCCAAAAAAACTGTTTTGGAGTAACTAGGAAGTTGACAGCAGCCGGCACGTCATGACATGATAAACCCTGCAAACTACAGGAACAGCGAAAGCTTGCAGACTTGCAACCTCGAGCAATCCAAGCAGAGGACCAAAAAAAAAACAAAAAAATGGGTGACCAAAATCATAGTCATAGAGGGAAACTGCAATACAAAACAAGACTTTTGGTGAAGTCCAGCTTGTACACCGTGGACTTCATAGTGGGGATGTATGCATATTTTGGATATTTGAGGCCAGTTCCGGGCAGAGTGCCAGTTGGTTTTGACCGTTTTCGACATCCATTGTGTGGAGGAGCACGCGCGGCTTTTGAAGAATGAACTCATCAAACAGCTTGGCAGTGAGGAAGACCCGGAGCTTAAGAAGAAAGTTAAGGAGAAGCTTGAGATAGCTTGACGATGCTTGATGCGATTTCTTGTTTCAAGTTTCATATGTTTTCACCATGTTTTCACCATGTTTCGCTTCTCCTTGGCATTATTTTTGACATTTCTTGCTTGCCAAGGGCCTAGTGACACAGGTCTGGGCTCGGTTGGACATGGGGGCGGCAGGAAGCAGTTGACGAGCGGGACAAATTGGACAAAGAAGTGGCGGCATGTTCAGCAACTGTTGACCAGGCACGTCAGCCATTGGATTTTCGCATGGATCCCCTGTTTATAGCATTGGCAGAAAAGAGTTCGGAAGATGATCGTCGTCGTCGTCGTCGTGGTGGTGGTGGTGGTGGTGGTGGTTGTTGTTGTTGTTGTTGTTGTTGTTGTTGTCGTCGTCGTCGTCTTTGTTGGCCCATGTTGGCCCATGTTGGCCCACGTTGTTCCATGTAGTTTGTCCAATTTCATGAAAACAGAAGAGGACACCTGCACCAGTCGTTCTTGCAAGCCACGGCATCTTATATCATAGAATGCGGTAGAATACCTTTTCGAAACTGGCCGTTGTCGCACAGTTGTCGCCGTCTTATCTTTTTCTTCATCATCATCAGCATCATCATCATCACCACCACCACCATCATCATCATCATCATCATGATGATCATCATCGCCAACATCATCATCATCATGATGATGAACATCATCATAGAATCATAATCTTTATCACAACCACCATCACCATCACCATCATTCCAACCACCATCGCCATCATCGCAACCACCATCGGCATCATACTATGAAGCAGCCCCGATGTGCTACTATGCCAGACCCGTTTTTTTTTGGGGGGGGTGAATGTATGTGAATGTTTTGTCCTTTACTCTTTTCAGTGAAAGTGCCCCTGTGAGATCCCGATTTTCATCGCCTTCTCTGCAAACATGCCCAGAGGAGATATCTTTGTTTTACAATTTTGCCAGTCCCCTAGGCCCAGAGCAGCTTGAGAGTTGTTAGATTCCAAACAAGGAGTGCACTTCGGCGGTTTATTTTGTGAACTGAGGTTGAAGGACTTGACAAGGGAGACACCCTGCTCGTGGCAGACGCCGCCTCGGGCATGAACGGTGCGAGATTTTCCGTTCTCTTGCTATCGAGACCACGGATTGATCTAAAAACAGCGCTTTCTCTAGTTGCAGAGCGGGCGTGGTTTTGCGATATGTTACCCTCTGGTGAACTAACATAGCAATGGAAAATCACCATTTTTAATGGGAAAACTCACTATAAATGGCAATTTTCCATAGCTATGTTAAATTACCAGAGGGTAACTGTAAAATGTATTAAAATGTGACAGACACTGCTCTGACAAACACACCCACACACCCACACACCCTACACACCCACACACCCAACCACTGACGCACCGCACTCACGTTGCACGCATGCCTGCCAAGAATATCCTAAAATAAGCTTGAGACTTTAAAAGTAGCAAGGGAGCCTTATTTTAAAAATGATTTTATTTGTATATGTTTTTTTTAAAATGATTTTAATATGATTAAATTTATGATTTGGATTTTTTCAATTGTTTTTTAATGAAAAAACTATGATGAAATTTATGTTTTTTTTTTTTTTCGTTCTGGCATTTTAATGTTTTTTTTAAATGATTTTTTAAATGATTTTTTAAAGTTTTTTTTTTTAAATGATTTTTCATGCCGAGAAAAACAAAAAATAATCATAAAAAAGATCATAAAATCATTAAAAACATAAAACATCATTAAACCAATCATTAAAAACATTAAAACAAATAAAAAAAACAAGATCATAAAAATAAAAAACACATTTTAAAACAATATTAAAAAAACATTAAAAACACATAAAAAAAACAAGCAAATCAAAAAAAAATATAAAGATCATAAATTTATGATTGTTTTAATGATATTTTCTATGATTTTTTTAATGATATGTTTATGATTTTTTAATGTTTTTTTTTGTGATTTTTTTATGATTAAATTTTTGTGTTTTTCTACTTTTTTTCTTCGAAATCAAGTGAAACTACATCATAAATTTCACAATTAAAAAATCATAAATTCAACCATAAAAAAATCATTAAAAATCATAAAAAACAACATCATATCTGAAAATTTCCCGTTTTTTTCCGACATAGTGAAATCATTAAAAAAAATCATAAATGTAGCTTCTGCGGGGTTGATGTTACACAGAATGCTAGGTTGGAACCCACGAAGTTTCCAAGGCACAAGTGCAGGCACACGAAGTCTCGGCACTGTTTTCGTAGCAGCTATGGCGCGGTCAGATTCCCACCCACCTGCATTGGATATTGGGCCGCAAGTGGGCGGCAGAAAGGAAATGGTGATACCTGACAGGGCTGACGTCAAATGGAACCTGACAGGTGGATTCATGTTGCATGCAATGCAAATGACACGGGGGAATGTTAGTTAAAGCCGGTCACTTGCAGCAGCACTTCCAGATCTTTGATCTGGGCAAAAACATGAAACTGAAACATGCGGCATCTGCTATCGTCCAGTGAATGCTCGGTCTTGAACCATGCGTACATCTCGAGGAGCACAAAGCTGGCAGTGATCTAGCTCATAGATCCGAGTTCGATTCATCTGGAATGTGGGGCAGTCAGCATCAACGTGCCATTGCGTCTCATCCAAGTTCTCTTGCCCTAGGATGGTGTCGCCAAGTGGGCACGGCATCTGATGGTTTGCGATCAGGCCTTGAAGTCTGTCAATTCGTCCAACCATGTGTCGGATCTGGTGGCCATTGTATTCCATCATGATCGCCATCACGTTCGCTGATCGGCGCTCCAGTTCAAGGTTATGACGAACTTGCTGCAGCATGTTGATCTCTTCTCGCATTCTCTGGGTCTCCACATCATGCCGGTCGTTTCGAAGCTGCAGGCTGTCGAGACGTCCCAAGGCAATGCTGACATCTTCAGCTTGTCGTGCACGTTGAAGTCGAATGCCTCGCCGTCGACCAAGGGCAAAAGCCAAGCCCAAAAGCAGCAGGATCAAAATGATCCAAAAGAAATAAATTCCCCATCGTCCATGTTCATGGTCCAATGGCACATGCATCGCTGAAGCCGCTGGCATAGTGGCGTAGAGCGTCAGGGCATACGGATACGCAAAGGCTTTGGCATTCTTTACGAAACCAGCGTAGGCCTCGACAGGTTTGTAGGGCTCTTCCATGGCATAGCGCTCGTCAAAAGGGCGCTCATCTTCAGTCACATCGCACTCTTCAAACATGTTGGAATGGTGTGGAGGTTCAGGTGTCGCGTGTTGAAGTGATGATGAAAATGTTGGTGAGGTTGTTTGTGATTCCTTCTTCTTCTTCTTCGGCTCTGCAAATTAGTTCTGCTGGCTTCACGTTCAGCAGCTGTCTTCTTTTTCGCACTGGTGTATTCAGGGTCCCACATCAGTTTCATCTTGTGGTAACGGATGCGCTCAGCAAGAAGGGCACGCGTTGACATCTTTGTGAGGCCATCCGCATACTGTCTCTCAGAGCTCACCCATCGCAGCATACCTCCAAGTGAGGTCAATTGCTCTTTTGCAACACGGATTTCAAGGCCGGTGCGCTTGTCCACTAAGGAGGCACCTGCAAGGCTTTCTTTGTGGTAGAAGTCGTAGAGGGCCTTCGCATCAGCAATGAGGCAAGGCTGCAAGGTTGAGGTTTCATCCAAATGGTCTCGAAGGTTTTGTGTAGGTCGAAGCATGCAGCTCCAAAACCTGGCAACATATTCCGCCATGTCGGAGGATTCGCCGCAAGCTTGTGCTTCGGCACTCAAACTGCTCCTTGCAACATGTGGCAGCTTGAAGCTGCGCCAGTCAATGATGTGAAAGTGGCTCTCGCCTTGAAAAATCTCATCTGTGGCAAAGAAGGCAATGTAACCACCCTGTGAAGTGTGATCTTCACGAACCCCATGTGCAGCATCAAACATAAAAAAAAAGTCTGATGTCGTCCAGGCTCTGGACGTTCAAAGGCTCGTAGCGCAGTCGCAAGTCCAGGTTCTGCTTGGCAAACTTGAGCAGCTGGTTCGCCTCAATGATGGCGCGCAGCTTGTTGGTTTTCTGCTGTCCGCTAATGAGGCTGGCACTGCATTGCACATGTGGGGCTGTTTGGACTGCTGGCCATTGTATTGATCCCAACAAAGCACGTAGTTGAGACTTGTCGTGCTCGTTCATCTCATCTTCAGCAGAACGACCCTTGTGGATGGTGATAGGTTTCACCTTTTTCCAGTAGTCCTCTTGGTGGACTGCAACTTCTGCCGCTCCAACTTCACACCGCAGTACTCCAAGGTCTGCGTATCAGCTTCCCAAGTTCGAAAGTTGAAAACTTCCTTCAGCCGCTTCTCAACATCAGCATACACTGCAGAGGATTCATCTCCTGCAGCCAAAATGTCATCGACATGGATGATGAGGAGGCCAACCAACTTGGGCATGTCGCCATCAGTGATGTTGGAGTCATCGAAGAGCATGAAGAGGCAGGGATCAAGTTGATGTCGTTTCCAACCAAGGCTTTCGAGTCTACGCAGGGCTTCCAGGTACCATCTACGTGGTGCATCCAACTGTCCATAGACAGGTTTCTTCAGGTACATGCGGGTCTCTGGCGGAGCACCAAGGATTCGTAGAGCTTCTGCTGGAAGACGAAGCCATAGTTGACGTTCTTGTGGAAGTCCTTGCAAGAATGCTGTTGACACATCTGCGGCCCAGGCTTTCCATCGCAAACATTAAGACACCGTCAGCAGGATTGATCTGCTCAGGCGGCTGGTCGTAGGGCTCGCAGTGTCAAGGTTGCCATTCAAAGCATCGACATCGTTGAAACCTCTGACAACCAATCGTGCCTTTGCACGTGGGGTGCCGTCAGTGTTTTTGGACCATTTCAAAAGTATTCTGCTTGTCAAAGTCCTCTCAGGTATGGCGTCTGCTGATGTGGAAAACTCCCACACGCCATTTTCGAAAAACGACTGAAGTTCTTTCACCTTGGCCTGGAGGAACAACTCCTTCTCGGCAGCAGTGAGGTGTTTCTCGGAGATCTCGCCTTTGTTCTTGGCCATGTCGCGGCGAAAGGCTCGTTTTTGTTGGACTTTGGCATCTTGGGCAACTTTCTTGGCTGAGCTGCGTTTGTCCTGGGCTGTCATCCCAAGCTCCTTTCTGGTGGTGGCATCGATCTGGAAGACAGTGATTCCAAACCATTGAGCAGGCAGTTGATGCTTCTTCAAAGACCTTTGGTCAAGTGCATCTGGTTCTTGAAGTCGTCAGTGAAGGAGGCAATCTGGCCGTCAATGGTGTGGTGAACCGTCACCCTGGTGTTGTCAAGGTGCTCCACCGGGATTGGGATGTCCTTGAAGCCGTTGGGGTCAAACAACCTGGGTCTTGTCAGAGTAACGGAGACGCAAGTCCCCAAACTCCATTGCACGTTCCTCTCAGCCAATGCCTGTGCGGTGTGTTGCACTGGACGAAGCTGCATGTGAACGTGTGTTTGTGTCACGTGAGAAGCAATTGGACATAGGTGCTTGCTTTCCATGTAATCGAACTTTTGGAGTTGGTGTGATTGATTTCGAGAGGTATTACTTTGAGACGGACTATCGGGGATACATTTTGTACGCGGAAGGTTGTTGACCCTGTCCTTCCATCTCCATTGACGCTTGCATCTAGCGCAATGAATCATTCCTTCATTCGGGGCATTGTAAACCTTGCCTATTTGCCGATTCCATGTCAGCACATGGCCACCCTTATTATATTTATTTTCGAGTTCCTCCTGGAGCTGGTCGAGTCTGTGAGAACTAAGATTAAAACCAGGACTATCTAACCATTGACTTTCATCTTTATTGGCATGGGGACACGGGTTTTTGGTAATTTTTAGTTTGATATGCTGCAATCGAGCACACATTGCTTACCACATTTGCGACACCACATACCGCCACTTGGGAGCATAGCGAGAGCATGACCATTGGCTTGTCGAATGCTGGCATTTTAATGACTATTATTATTGGGCGGAATGGGTCCTGATGGTGGTGTGTCATTGACATCTTCGGCATAAAAGGAACGAATGTGCTGCTGCCAAATATTTACAAGGGTTTCTTGA